GGCTATAATCGCTGAAGGTGTTCCTGAGTCAGACACCAAGCAGTTGATTGCATACGCACGAGCCAACAATAAGGTGAGGGAGATGACTAGAACTGAAATAGATGATGAAATGAGCGGATAATTGATCACATTCAAAACATAGGGTTCTCCCCAAAATCATGCACTTGCACATAATCTTTTAATGATTTAACCCAATTTCTCTTTTGAACTCTGAATCCAGTTTTAATATTGATGGTGTTGCAGGTTGTTATTGGCCCAGCTACTGTTGGAGGCATTCAAGCTGGAGCCTTTAAGATAGGTGATACAGCTGGAACCATTGACAACATTATTCAATGCAAGCTTTACAGGCCTGGATCTGTTGGCTTTGTCTCCAAATCTGTATGTTTTCATTTTTGGAGTTGCTATTTCTTTTGTACATAATTGATTTATACATAATAGAGTGGCTTTGACCTTCACACAAAAAGTTTTAAATTTAATAATGCTGACATGATAAGGTCACGAACCTTAGAATTCTCCTTGACATAGGTTCACTATGATTGATATATTAAGTCAAGTTGCTCCTTCATTTTCTTAGATAAAGCTAGTTAAAGATGATAAGCTGAACTTTGTCACATAAAAAGAGAAAGGAAGGTAGTGCTAAAACATTCAGCATTATTCTTACCATATATTCACATAATTTTAAGCTGTATATGAAATATTATGGATATTGCTGAGCCTTGTTTTCTAGCTTAATTAATGACTTATTTTTAATGTTAAATATTCTATAAGAATTCATGTGAACAGCTCTTTTCTATATAGTCTTCTTCAAAGTGGATTAGACATCTGGTTATTTGCCATTGAGTAGTGTAGCTTTGGTGGAATATCAACCATGATAAATAATTTTCACTTTTTCTTCTTCAATAATCACAGGGTGGCATGTCTAATGAAATGTACAGCACAATTGCTCGCGTAACAGACGGAATTTATGAAGGTATTCGTGGCTTCATATGCTGCCTTAGTTTTCTACTGTTCATGACAGCAACATGCTTGAGGATAAATAATAAAATGGTAATGTTGGATACATTTTGAAACTCCTATAGGCATTGCAATTGGTGGAGATGTTTTCCCAGGCTCCACATTATCTGATCATGTTTTGCGGTTCAACAACATCCCACAGGTAAATTATCTTTTTACCCTTGGGATTGCATTACTCACAGCAAGAATGACTAATAAAATTAAAGTATTGCAACCTACAATCTTTATTAGGATGGAATTTGATGTCTTTAGTATTGTTGACACATATTTGGGTGGTCAGCATGTAAAGATTCTTAAACTCTGAAGGGCATGAATGCTTACAAGTTAAAAAAAGAACATTATTTCCCTGTTTTTTGACTAGCTTTCTGTTTTTCTCATCTACCTCAGGTTAAGATGGTGGTTGTTCTTGGAGAACTTGGTGGACGAGATGAGTATTCTCTAGTTGAAGCCCTAAAACAGGGAAAAGTAACCAAACCAGTGGTTGCTTGGGTCAGTGGAACTTGTGCACGACTGTTCAAATCAGAAGTACAATTTGGTCATGCAGTAAGTGATTGCATTAGTTTCTTGGAAAACTTTTTCCTATCTTGTTTGATATGGGTTTAATTGGAGAGGCATTACCACTAATTGCACCTGGCTTTCAGGGGGCTAAAAGTGGTGGCGAGATGGAATCTGCACAAGCAAAGAATCAAGCATTAAGTGAGTCTGGGGCCGTTGTTCCTACTTCGTATGAAGCTTTGGAAGCTGCAATCAAAGAAACATTTGACAAATTGGTGAGTTTCTCTCTTTGCTAAAAGTTCATACTTCATTAACACCAACCAGAAACAGCTCTACTTAGGTGTTTGCTTTTGCTTTTAGGTTGAGGAGGGAAAGATTACACCAGTAAAGGAAGTTAAGCCCCCACAAATACCTGAAGATCTTAACAGTGCCATTAAGAGTGGGAAAGTTCGGGCCCCAACTCATATTATTTCCACCATTGCTGATGACAGGGGTATAACGTCAACTTATTAATGTTCTGAAATGTTCTGGGTATAGAGACCAGGTGCTAAATTATTCATTATACTTTATTTGCAGGTGAGGAACCATGCTATGCTGGTGTCCCCATGTCTTCCATAGTTGAACAAGGTTATGGTGTGGGTGATGTTATTTCTCTATTGTGGTTCAAACGAAGTCTTCCTCGATATTGTACTCATTTTATTGAGGTAGGCTTCTCAAAAATGTAGAGCTTCTTTTCAATCTTCCACCTAACCTGCCCTTCTCCACTTTCCCTCTTCTTTCCCAATTGACATATATTGTTGGGTGTATCCTGGGTTCAGCCTACTTTTTCCCCCTTTGAGGAATATCTCTTCTAGGAAAACAAAACAATATTATATTTAGCTGTTGTCTGATATAACATGCATCTCTGGTCAGATATGCATTATGCTCTGTGCTGACCATGGTCCCTGCGTCTCTGGTGCTCACAACACCATAGTAACAGCCAGGGCTGGCAAAGACCTTGTTTCCAGCCTTGTGTCTGGTTTGCTTACAATTGGTCCTCGCTTTGGTGGTGCCATTGATGATGCTGCTAGATACTTCAAGGATGCTTATGAAAGGGTAAGATTTGTCAATTAGTAAAATTAGGGTGACTTGGTTTCTAATGACTGCTGGTTTACACATTCTAAGGTGTTACCTTTACATGCTTTTCAGGGCCTTACTCCTTATGAGTTTGTTGAAAGTATGAAAAAGAAGGGCATCCGTGTTCCAGGAATTGGGCACAGGTACAGAGTTCTAAATGTTCATTATTTTCCAAATTATGTAAATGGCAGAGATGGTGAATTCAGTGAATTGCTGTAATATATTATATAGCATTTCTAATGTTGGAAACCCTTTATTTGCTTCCTCTGGAAAGGATCAAGAGAGGAGACAATAGAGATAAGAGAGTGGAGCTTCTTCAGCGCTTTGCACGCAC